CTTCTGCACAGGGGGAGCCAGAGTCTTTAGGCTTTATGAGTGATTGTTGACGTATATTATAGGTGCGCATGAATGAGAGAATAAGCCACAGTGAACAATAGGAATTGTTTTTATCATCAAATTAGTGCTTGAGATTCTTATTTTGTCTTCTGGGGTCTATGGATATTTATTAAATATCTGCTAAACTAAAGAAATTTCGTTTGTGATAATATAGAATGGAGTGTAAGTTTCACTACTTAGAAGCTCTGTAATGTTAGCATGAGCACTTCTTTTGATGTTGCCAGATTGCAACTCCACTATTAAAAAATTGTATGTATTAGTTTTAAAATGTGACAGTGTCTCCAAATTACAAGAATTGAGGCATACTGCCCTTCAGCATTTTTGTATTACATCCTTGTTACAGTGATTATGTTATTCTTTTTCTAAAAATTGTACTCAAATCTGGAAAGATCATAGGTCACTGCAGGTAAGATTTTTACTTCTGTTTCATGTTCTTTCACATTTTACCCATGAATTCACCCTCAGATTTCTATTCCAGTAAAAGAGGGTTTGTATGAGATTATTTTTGATCACTTTCATTTCTAAAATTCTCTAATCTGTCTCTATAAGATGCGTGATCTAAGTAAGGCTACTTGGAAAGTACCGAGGATTTTTCTTTTGGCTCTCTCTCTTATAAAGTCAATCACCTTTCAGAATAACACATCCCAGTCACACAGACAGCTTTGTTCTTCTAATTATGTGTGCTTGGGATAGTATTGGACCAAGGCACTGAGTATCTCAACATGATGACTAGCTTCAAGCCCACTGGTTTTGCATGGAGGAGAAGGAGAACAATAAACAAATTGTTAAGCCCATGGCTCGGAGCCATTTCTAGGACGTTAGCTACTTTGAAATGCACACACTGAAAAAAATTCCTTGTTAGGAACAGTATAGTAGAAAGGGAGTTATATACCTTTCAGTTCTTCGCTTGTATATAAATGCAATTTGACTTGGTTTTAAAAAATCGGTAGTGTTTTTTAAATGTTTTAAAATGTGAGTGCTTTTCCGTTTGATTTTCATAAAATAAAGTAACATTCCTTGGACAAATGCCAAGCAAATCTTTTTTCTTTTTTTAAAGAAATAGTCTTATTTTTCTTACATCTCCCATATAACCTTTGATTCTTGGAAATGATCATTGTTTTCTATTCGTATACTAGGGTTTTCTCTTAGAGAATATAGTCATGAAATACTTAAGCTTAATAACAGTGTTGTTTATTCCTGTTTGGCTTTTAAAGCCCTTGATAATCCACCACTACACTCTATCCATTCTTTTTGCAAATTGATCTTCATACATTGTGCATTTCAGTTTTCTGCTGTCCATGCACATGTTCCATCTCCTGTCTCTCTGCTTTTGCACTGGCTGGCCCCCATGCCTGGAATGCACTTCCTCTTTGCTTCCACCTATTAGAACTTCCAGCTTTCTTTGAAGTCCAGCACAAATATTACTTCCCACAAGAAACCTCTGCTTATTCCCCCTATTGCTAGTGGCATCCCCCCAGAAACTACTTTGTATATATTTTATATTTAATTTTGCAAGGGGTATTTTTTTTGTCTCTGGGTTTATTGTACCCTTCACATTTCCTGGCACATAGTAGACACTTTAAAAATTCTTGATTGAGTGAATGAAGGAAACAATAATAAATTAAAGAAAATACTTATTAGGGGAGATTTCAAGAATTCTGTAGTTTGTTCAGTTCTGACCAACTCCAGACTTAATTAAATACACATTTTTTAACTCCACAGAAGATCTCTTAAAATAAATATTCATTTTAACTGAATGAAGCATAATTAATCACTCATTTTGTATTATGATTTTTATATCACTCTAAGTTTGATACAATAAATGGATGAAAACCATTTTGTATAGTTTAAACCCTGGGGATTCAAATACAAAAGTGAGACAATCTTTCCCCCCAAAGATCTTACCTTCGTGTAGGGAGAAACAACATATATAGAAGTGAATGGTGACCAGAGAAGGGTAATTTGGTTTGGGATGTCCCAGGGGTAGTGAATGAAGCCAAAAAGAGGAGGCGGCTGCTTCCAGAAGCAGTAGTCATATTGATTTGATTACTTCTTTTGAAGGTAGAGGTAAAAAAACAGGGTTAAGTGAGGTGGGGTAAGGAATTGATTGTGAGATGGGATATGGATAATGATGTGGGTTCAGCTAGAGAGAGTGGGACATGTGGGATTGTCCTGGCTGACCTCGCTCAATCAGGAGAAAATGGTCCCAAAGTCATGGTTCCAAAGCTAAGAGTTATAGCAAGCACATCATATGTACTGTAATGATTCATGATCCTCTAATATTGAGGGGAAGACTCAACAAGATTTAAGATTTCATGAGGGTGTCTGTCTCTGAGACACATCTTCTGAAGTATTAATAGCTGATGTCAACACATTGCGCTTTGTAAAGAGCTTTACATACGGCATCTCCTCCGATCCTGACATTTGTAAGGTAAGTGTTGTTACTATTTCCATGTAAGAGATGAAGAAACCAGGGTGAAAAGAGACAGAGAGAGGGAAAGAAAACGGAAGTCCATTACTCTGTGCAGTAAGCCACATTGCCTCTGTATAGGACTACTGTCATTTATAGTGGGAGGTGGATTGGATTAGTTTAAAGTATTTTTTAAGCTATCATTTGGAAGAGGGTTTACGATATTCTCCGTGTTTTCTGGAGTAAGGATTAGGACTAACAAGTGAATTACAGTGAGGCTGACTTTGGCTTAGTATAAGGAAGAACTTTTTACAATCAGAGTTGATCAGAAGTGGAATATACTTTCATGTGTGATTGTGAACTGTCTTTGTATTGGAATAGTCTGAGACCTGAAGATCCAGCCCATCCCTCAGGGATGGCATAGGGGGAATTCCTGTACAGAATAAAAGTTTGCTTTAGATTATTTCAATCTTTTAAAATTTAAGAGTCTGTGGATATCTTGACAGGACCATAAGATGTACAGTAACTGTAGATGTGCCAGGGGCCTTCAAAGTACTAACATCCAACCCCCTTATTACACAAGTAGTGAATGGTAATATTCTATTTGAACTCAGGTCTAGAGACTCAAGTTCATCAGTTCTTCTACTGCAAAACCCTGCTTCTTTATATTTGTATTTATAATTCATTATTGCTGACTTGATTTTGCAGAAGGAGCCCAATCTGGGGATTAATAGATAGATAGATAGATAGATAGATAGATAGATAGATAGATAGATAGATAGATAGATGCTAGAGAGCCATTAAGTGTGTTGTGTGCTGATTTTTTTAGTTTGAGGACTTGGATAAAGACTGAAAAATAAATTTGTTCTTACATTTTGCTAAATTGTTATATAGATATTCAAGTATCAATTTTAAAAGAGTTTCTGATCTCTACTGTGGCATATTCTCAATCATTTCTTTGTTAGTTTCAGTGAGTGGATGATTTTGCCATTACATCTTATTGTGAAATTTTACTGAAAGGAAGATTCCACTGTTCTCCACCTCAATTTGTTTCCTTTACTTGTTGCAATAAACTCAGAAGGTTAAAAAAAAAGTTGGCCCTTGAATAGTAAATGTGGAAAGTTACGCCATTTTACAGAGGGTGAGTTTGTACTGCAGTAACCGAATGTTAGTTTAACATCTATTATGGCCACTTTCGGTTTAGCCAACTGTTCACTTGGTGCCTTGCCCTGCCCTAACCTGACTAATTAGCTGTCATTGAAAAATGTAAGTCCCTGCTGGAAATCTTTTAGAGTTCATTGTTCAGTGAAACTCTGAAAGACCCAAGTGAAAGGGCACATTAGGTTTGTTAGCCATCATGCATGTGAGACAGAATATTTCAGTCTCTTATTTGAAGCCACTGATCGTTTAAAATTTAGTCATTCTGACATTTCTTAACTGTGGCATGTAGTATCTTGCCTTCAGTTATTGTCAGATGCTAAGATCATCCTCATTAAAACAGGACTTGCATCACATTTCCAACTAAAGTTGGGTGAATAACTTTTTTAAGTGATTATAACCTTTATAGCATTTTAGTGGCTTCATTTGAAAAACATACATAGCCAATAAGTAATCCACAGTAATGGAAGTGAGTTGCAGAAAATGATAGCGACATAGTTTCTCGTGGACTTTGGACATTGTATGGGCTCTGGCCCTGTCTGCTGATGTACTCTCCTACTCTTGTTTTTCTTGATTTCATATTAAAGTTAGCTTTTGTTTCCTGAACACAAACATCATTTGAATGTATAGAGCAGCAGCTTGTCACTTGGCTAGAAGGAGGAAATAAATGTGCCAGGCTTGAAAAATTCCTCTGAGGTAATCTTTAAGGTGGAAAACTTAGAAAGTGAATGTACACATTAGCTACTATCATCCAGGGATTAATTATAAAAAGTCAGAGTTAAATGAAAATTGATTGAGAATGTGATGGATGTGTTGCTAGGTTGAGGGTACAGTGATTAAGGGTGTAGCCACCATCTGAGTTTTCAAGGGAATACATTCTAAAATCCCAGCAAAATAGGGAACTGTGTAAACACTCAGCTTATCTGAGTTGGAAGAGAGCTGAAGATAAGGTGTTAGCAAGAGATACAAGTGCCTGGTGTTATTTCTTGATTGAATGAGTCAAAGATCTGAGCTAACACCTATTGCTGAGACAAATTAATGTCAATTCAATTAAGTAAATATTTCTTTTATTTTCAATTTTTTATTGATTTATTTTTATATTTTCTTCACTTCTGATTATATTTCTTCTCACAGTAAACTAACCCTTTGAACAAAGAATAAAAAAGGGGGGGGGAATAGCAGTTCAATAAAACTAAAACAAACGTCACCTGAGTCTGACGGTATATGCAGTGTTCCACACCCTATTCCCTTATCTTTGCAAGAGAGAGAGGGAGATAGTCATAACCCAAATCGAATATTGTATTCTGAGATGTTTCTTCTAGGAAGAATTGCAGTGGTTGATGAAATCATTTTCTTCTTGTTTTTCTTCCAGGGCGTCTACTACACCAAAGCCTGAACCTGTTTCCGTTCAGAAGGTAAATTTTTAATGAAAAAAGAGGAGTGTAACATTTAATGGTCTCGGTTGAGCAAGTCAGTTTTCAAATACTCTCAGTTAACCCACTGTCCAAGTTGATTTCTCTGTTGTTTTCCTCATACTTCCTTTAGAGGAAGTTGTTTGAGCTTTGTTGCTATTGTTATTTTAAACATACACAGTTACCATCTCTTCAGTGTGATTGCCTTTTAAAGAATTCATGGCCATATCCTCTTCAGAAAGTACATAAAAGTAAAGATGACAATAATCAATGTACATCCAAAATAGGGACACACAGACTCTTGAGGGAACCCTCAGAAGTCATTTGGTGGTAGCTTTTGTGTCCCCAAAATGATTTCCACTTAGCCCTGATTCAGAGACATCTACCTATTCACTTACAAGACTTGTTACCTTTCCCCTACATTCCTACATTATAATTTTATTAGTCCGAATATGAGTTACTCAATGCCCTTTTTTATCCTCTTGCTGTCAGGTTCAATCATGTGGCATCATCTTTTATTCTTTAAAAGAAATATATTGGATATAGAAGCAGCATGGCATAGTATTCACTCCACCTCTGTCACCTAGCTGTGACCCTGCACAAGTCACTTCAACTTTCAGTGGCCCTAAGACAATAAGTTGCAGAGAGGGTGCCATTCTGAAGTGATGGGAGGAGTTTCCTTAATGATAATCCCTACCAATGAGATCATTGGCTCAGTTCCCCCTTCCCCCTGCAAAGTAATCTGATGTTAAGTCAACAATTTTTTACCTTAGATTTGCTTTAGAAAGTGAAATTTTTAAATAAGAATTTACCATGAAGGAAAACGCATTTCACTTTTGAAAAAATAGTTCCTTTCCCCATATGTTAACTATATGTTGCTGTTATTTATTTTTAACTATATTAGACATATCTTGATATATTTTTGATATATTTGATATATTTTGTTTTTATAAGCCCTTCGTTTCAGAGTATATTCCTTTCTCCAGTGAGCTTTCACTTTTTAGGAAAGGATTAAAAAAAGGAGGAAAAATCAGTTTGGAAAAACTATACAAAATATCACTTGAATTTAACAGCATGTTAATTTTTTTATTTTGTAAAGAAAGGAAGGAAAATACTGGATTCTGTCTCTAAGTATGACTCAAGCTAATTTTTTTTGACAAGTGAAAAATATTAAAGTTCATATTGAAATGACAAAAGACCACATCAAATATTAGAATTTTTGTTTTTGAAAGCAGAAAATCTATCATATAATTGTGGCATGTTAATGCTGGAGAAGTGAAAAAGTGGCATGAATCATTTTAAAGATCTGTTTCTTAGCCTAATGGCTGTTTTGGTAATTCTTTGGTTAAAAGTCACTGGGCTTTGAAAATTTTAAAGTTAAACAGAAATAATATGTTTTAAAATAAGGAATTAGAAATAATTAGGAATTAGAAATAATATGTTTCAAAATAAGGAATTAGAAATAATGTGTTTTAAAATAAGGAATTAGAAATAATTAGGAATTAGAAATAATATGTTTTAAAATAAGGAATTAGAAATAATATGTTTCAAAATAAGGAATTAGAAGTAATATGTTTTAAAATAAGGAATTAGAAGTATACAGTAGGAAATACTGCGGCTTGCTTTGAGCTAATAATGGCACTGTAGCACACAGTGGAATTTATTATAAAGAGCAAATAAAGTAGTAGATGGAATTGAATTTGAGGATTATTGATATATGTGGTTTAAAAAAAGCACTTTGTTGTCTGGGTAGGATTTGAATAGGAGTTTATTCATTTGAAACTTTGCATTATATTTAAATTTGTTATATCATTTCGATGACTGTCATGCTGAATAAGAGTTTTCCTGCTTAGTTGGCTAAATCCTCTACAAATGTCTTTAAGTTGATTAAAATATATATGTATATATTTTTGTTTTGCATCTGTGTTATGCTTGTTAGGAGACCTCATTATGCATGCTAAATTATGTCCCCTGTTAATTTTTCACCAAGGCATACAGATGATGATTTGGCTGCTAACATGAATGTATCTTATTTTTAATATCAACTGAATATTCTTTTCAATCAGTTGTCTTTTTGCATGTATTTGGTGTGTTCTCTGTGTGTGTTTTATTTTTATTTTACATAGGGAGAACCCAAAGAAGTAGTTAAGCCTGTACCTATTACATCCTCTGCTGTGCCCAAAGTCACTTCCACATCCAACTTGGCCTACAATAAGGCACCACGGCCTTTTGGGGTTGTATCTTCTCCAAAAGTCACCTCCATCCCATCACCATCATCTGCCTTCACCCCAGCTCACGCGACCTCTTCATCACACGCTTCCCCTCCGCCAGTGGCTGCTGTCACACCTCCCCCATTTGCTGCATCTGGACTGCATGCTAATGCCAAACCTAGCGCCGACCAGCCTTTACCTGCCTCGAGCTCTGTTAAAACTGCAGTTAATGTCCCACGGCAGCCCGCAGCCACGAGCCCGTATGCCAGTGACACTGCCCAGGAGCTAGCTGAGGGGCAGAGAAGAGGATCCCAGGCTGACAGTAAACAGCAAAATGGGTAGGTGGCTAACGCGCGCTTTCCCCGCTTTTGTCTTCAGGAAATTTAAGAAAGCACGATAAACCCAAAACCAGAAAACACAGCTTCTTCTTTTTAGGGATGGAGAAGATTGAGATATGAGTTTGATTTGCTTTGTAAAAAAAAAGAGTTTATAACATTCACTCCAATGGAAAAAAAATGTAGTGTGCTATCAACTTCCTGACATGTGGTGTAATGTTTTTTTCTTTCCCTCAAATACAAGCAGCTGGCACTTAAAATGCAAGGCAGGTCTGGGAAAGGTTCTTTTAATCCCCCCCTCCACTCCCCAATCCTTCTGCTTTTAGGTTATCACTAAGAAGGGATATTCAGTGGCTACAGTCTCCATCTACCTTGCGGGTATTCCTTAGAATTGAAGGAGGCATTTGTAATCAGGGCTTTAAGGAAGAGTAGCAACCTCCCATGGTCTGTATTTGACTAGAATCTATATATGCAGTAGTTTAGGCAAAAACCTGGTATCACTATAGGACACTGAGGCTTAGCATTGACATTTATTCTTTTTTATCCCAAATGATGCTTTTAAAAAAACACTCACAAATGGGATCTCAGTGAAGATTCATTTTTTTTACTGACATCTTTTATTCTTACATCCCCTTTATTTCCAAAAATATCTTGATTCTTCTCCATCTCCTTTATAACAAAGAATTATCAAAAAAGGAAGGAAAAAAAAATCAGCCCAGCAAACCTTAGCAACAGGTCAACCACATATGACATATTGAGCAGCGTTCCATCCAGTGCATCCTTGTATCTCTTCCTCCAGGCCATGCTTGGTCATTATAATTTCATGGCATTGAGTCTGATTATCATTATTCTTTCTGTTTACATGGTTCTGGTCATTATTGTTTTCCTAGCTCTGCGTCTTTCATTCTACATCACTTCATAAAAGCCTTCTAGTGAAGACGTTTCCAGATCATTTGGAACTCTTAGGACTTCACAATTAAAAAGAAAACAGATATTTGAAGATAATAATCACAAACTCTTGGTGAATTTTCAATGCATCGAATACTTTTTTGGGGATTGGCTAAATGTGTTAACTTATTTTTTACTACATCCTTAGCCTTCAAATTGTCCACCTCCTTTTCAGAAGTCTCTGTTGCTGGAGAAAGGTTGTTTTACTCTCCAGAGGTCAAAGAAATCCCCCTATACCAAAACAGACCTTGTAAATTCATTTTGATGAGATTCATTCCGGGAATGCGGAATTAAGTGGAGAAAGGGAGAAAGAGAAGAAGTATACAGGATAGCTTTAAAAATGCCAATTTTAGAGACAGTACAGTCAAAGCGATGATAAAGCTCAGTTCTTTCTATTGAAATGATCTCTTCTGCATGCTAATTCACATAATGAAGATGCTTTGTTTCGTATTGCACCGCTGTCATGACAACATTTGGCCGCTGAAACAGAAGATGGCAAGATTCCATGCATCTTAGAAAAGGAAAAAAAGCAGGCGGTCTAATTGACTTGCTACTGTGTATAGAGCTGGTTTTGTATGGTGCCTCTGTGTGTGTGTTTGTGTGTGTTTAATTTAGACAACTAGTGTCCTAAAAATGTGTGTTTTCATTTCATGCTTGAGATTATCTAAAACTGAGATTTAGAAAACAATTTAACCCAGTAACAGCCAAAGAAAATGTTCTTTAAAAAGTATTACAGAATTTCAGAATTGGAGGGGCTTTGGGAGGTGTCCGGTCCAGTGCATACCTAAAAAAATTTCCTCTATAGCATACGTGAGAAGTAGTCATTCAATTTTTGTTTGAAGTTCTTAAATTAAGGGACTCTGTCCTCCTACTTAAGCAGCTAGGTGGCACAATGGCTAGAGTGCCGAGCCTTGAGTCAAGAGGACCTGAATTCAAATCTGGCCTGATACTTCGTAGCAGTGGGACCCTCATCAAGTCACTTCCTCCGCTTTGCCTCGTTTCCTCATCTGTAAAACGAGCTGGAAAAGGAAGAGTTGGACATGACTGAATCGACTGACCCACAGCAACTAACACAGATTCCCCTACTTCTGGAAGCAGTCCATTCCACTTTGGGCTAGCTCTTATTATTAGGAAACTTCTTTCCTTACATCAAGATTATATTTGCCTCCTTCCCACTTTGATCCATTGCTACTAGTTCCACCCTTGGGGCCAAATAGGGCAAGTTGAATCCTTCTTCTCTGGTCTAATCATCCCATCTCTTCAACCAGTTTTCACAAGGGCTTCCTTCATCATTCTGGTAGTTTTCTTCCATATTCTCTGGATTATCAGTTTAATCTTTGGCAATGCTTCTTAGATTTCTTCTGGAAATATCATTTTAGCCTCTGATTCACCAGAAGTGGGTAGTAGTCATATGTTTTGACATATCTTGGGAGGTTCTTTGTTCCATATTGGATAAGTGTCTGGGAAGATGGTAGAGCAGACCTTTAGCTGATACTGGATTGACAAATAGCTACCTCAGTAACCCCCAGCAGGGAGCTACCAGCTATGCTTGCTTAGCTTTTCTTCTTACTCTTGTAAGTGATGTGGCACCTCCTAGTACATTTGTATCTTCTTTGTCCTTCCTTGGAGGACAAGCAGCTGCTTTTTTCATCAATCTGTTTTCTTTTAGGGAAGGGCCTAAAATTTATTTCTTAGCTCCTAGTCTTTAGTAGTCCTTTATCTCTTCTTCCTCCTTTCCTTGGCAAGTCTTCAACACTGTAGGCTTCTAGCACAGGGAAAGAGTCAGCCATACCTCATCAGACCTCTTTTCTTCTTGATTTTTCATAAGGAAGCTGTGGATGTGTATGTTTAAGAAATGCTTAACTGTGTCTGATAACTGTAGAGAGTATTCCACAAATTCCTTCCCTTTTGCTTTAAGAAGATCTGAGACCCCTCCTCCAGTCACCCCAAACTACTTGGCCACTCCTAGATCCCTCTCACAATCTTTCTTCATGTAAAGTCCCTCTTGTCTCCATTAAGGGGCTCAGATTCTTAAAATCTCCCCCCCTTGCATTAGTGATACGATTGCTCAGATTTTTTAAGAGTCTGGCCAAGGACTCTGATTCTTAAAATCTAGCCAGTGGCTGAGATTTACTCTAGCTAGTTTGTTAATATGAGTGTCACAAATGCTTAGATTCCTTAAGAGTCTGGACAGTATGGCAGATTCTTTAAATCTCACCCACCCCGATCGATGTTTTAATAAACTTTGTCTTTGGCTGGGGGTGGGGGTGGGGAAAGAAGATCTGTCTACATTTAGAGCATAGGTAGCAGTCACACAGCTTGCTACTGAGTGGTCACTGCAAAAAGTTTCCTGCTCTCCATTTTACCTGGGAGTGAGATCTTCAGTCCTCATCTTCTTTTCTCGTATGGCAAACTATAGCGGGTGACCAAAACTCCAAAATTGTCACTCTCCTCACCTTTTAGTTATCAGCTACACCTTGGTGGCCATGCTTAACTTTTCTTGCCTTCTCTCGCTTCTTCCTTGGTTTACATTTTTTTTTCACCTAAGTACTTTGTCTTACCTCTCCTTAAATCCTGCACCTCTTCATCTTCGTCCTCCTCTCGTAGCTCAAGTCTTCCTTCTGCTGCTGCCTCTTCTTGCATCCTTCATCTTCTTCCCTTAGGACTGAATTATATGTAAAACGATGGGCTCATGGTCACAGGAGTGAGAAGAGACCTTGGAAGGTATCAAGTCCAGTCTTCTCTGAAGGAGAGAGGTATTCAGGCTCTCTTTAAACTGAAGGAGGGGCAGCTAGATGGTGCAGTGGATAGAGTACCAGCCCTGAAGTCAGGAGGACCTGAGTTCAAATCTGGCCTCCGACCAAACACTTGACACTTACTAGCTGTGTGACCCTGGGCAAGTCACTTAATCCCAATTGCCTAACAAAAATTTAATTTAAAAAATTTAAAAAATAAACTGAAGGAGAAAAATATTAAGTGGCTTGCCTGGGATCGCATAGCTAGTAACTAAAGTGTCTGAGACAGGAATTGAATGCAGGTCTTTCTGACTTTCTGACGTTCAATGCCCTGTCCACTATGCCATTCTATTTTTGCCCCAATTTCCCGCTACTTCTCTTTATTTCCCTGAAATCTCCCTTCTCCTTCAGACTGAGTTCTTTCCCCTTGAATTTTTCTTCCGTAAATTCTGTTCATAACCTTAATTTTAACATGTTCCTTTTAAGAATATCACCAATTTATCTCGTCTGTCTTGTTCATATGTTGTTGTTTGCATTTTGTTTCCTCCATTAGATTGAGCTCCTTGAAATGAGGAGCTGTTTTTTGTATCCCCAGTACCTAACACAATGCCTGGCACATAGTGAGTATTTAATAAATACTTCTTGACTGACTGGCCTAGTCCACAATTCCCAAGACCTCTTGTCCCCCAGCCTTTTCTTTTGGAAACTGGAAAAAAATTTATATTGTTATCCTTGCCTCAGAACCCTAGAAAACCACTTAATAAAATCAAAGTTTGGCAAAAAAAAAATTATATATATGCATATAAGTTAAGTGGCACAAGTAATATTACACCCATTTTTCTGGTGACTGAATTTGCTGAGTTTCTAATGTCATAAGACCATTTAAATAAATGTCAAGTGCCTTTATGAAATTACAATCATGTTATTAAGCACCAAATTGGGCAGCTAGGTGGCACAGTGGATAGAGTGCCAGGCTTGAAGTCAGAAAGACTTCCGGTGTTCAAATCAGGCCTCAGACACTTATTATTTGTGTGACCCTAAGCAAGTCACTTTATCTTGTTTGCCTCAGTTTCCTCATATGTAAAATGAGCTGGAGAAGGAAATGGCAAACCACTCCAGTATCTTTGCCAAGAAAACCTCAGATGGGGTCAGAAAGAGTCAGACATGACTGAAACAGCAGAACAACAGCAAAGCACTGAATTAATACACCTGAATGAAGTCATTCTCAAATCTAGAGATGTATTCCCTTGCATGGATTTAGAGACTTTGCTTGAAATAACTTCTTTTTTGGTTGGATATCTGAATTGTAGGAAGCATCCA